GCTCCACAGAATGCCAAAGACGTTTGTAAACCAAACATTACCCCCAACCTTGTGTTTTCAGGCTTTGTTTCGCAATTTAATGATGCCCGATGAGGCAGGAGAAGCCTTTGGCAACACTTCCCAACCAGTTGGTCAAGTACCTCAAAGTCCCTTCCAATAACAATCAACACATCAGTGTCAGAGGCACCCTTCATCTTCTTCAACTTGTGTGGGACAAAAGACAACTGATCCTTCAGGACTTGCTAGCCTACCGTCCTCTTCGAGGCTTCCTCTCTGCTGATTATCCTGTAAAATTAATATGTTCTTAATTTTTTTATTCGAATTATAAGACTGTGTTCAAAATGCGAAAGAGATGAAAATGGGGAGAGAGAGAAACGGAGGATTTGTTCAAAGGACAACATAAAAAGGCTCCATTTAAAAAAAAAATATTTTCCTGGACAATTATTTAATGGTTTCAAGGGCAAGTTGATTAAATGGGGACTGGATATAATTCCGAATATTAAATGTACTCAACAGGAACTTTGGTGATCTGAAACTGTTTACATTTTACCCTAGTGTCAGTCCTTGGATGACGTTACCCTGTAGGGACTCCCCAGGATCCCTCAGTGCGAACATAATGGCCTCCCGTTCTCGCCGCTGTTTAAAAGGACAGAAGATACTTTTGTGTAGGACCAGTTACTGATGATGAATGCCACTATCTGATACATGTCAAATAGAGGGCAACATCAAAATTCATACAATACTTATTTGATATCCCTGGATCTGCATTGGTTGTCCTTCTTGAGGGATTACTTTTAACCTGCTGTAGTAAATCCCACTTCAACAGTAACTGTATGCATTTGAAACTTTAACTCAGCCCTCTCCCAATCCAGACTTATGGGTTGGAAACCCAAAGAGTGGGCCCCGATTTTTGGCTTGGGTTGCCAGTTGGCAGAGTAGAATTGTCAAATTTTCGTGGAATTGTTTTCCAAATTCTCAAAATAGTGTGTGGAGAGGCAGCATTTTATTTGGTGGAATATATTTTTTGTCACATTAAGTGGGGTTCCAGCGCTTTTTGTAGCTGTCAGCCTTCAGAGTGCATTCTCTCTTATACTACCCTTCATTTTTATTTCTTTTCTTCCCTAGCGTCCATATTACGGCCGCATTAATCTTCTTTTGTTTAACTATCTTGGAACAGAAATAACAAGACAGATTAAATTCAAACCCTCATACCTGAACCTCATTTTTTTCAACTGTTCCTGCTATAAGTTTTGAAAGTCCAACTTCATAGACAAACCTTAGACAGAAATGAACGAAGTGTGATAGGAGGAACAGGAAAGCCTAAGGAAGTTTGCGGTCCTTAACCATCCGAATACCACGCGCGCATTCCTCCGCCGCCGGAATGTCATTTTTAGAACCAAGACTACTGTACATTAATAGCCAGCCTTCAAATTATAACAATACTCTCTCACCTGTTAGCAAAACACAAACAAAACTTTCATTAAACCAATAGAATGCTAAAGAATAGACATAAAGATAAAAAAAAACACAATTAATACTCATCATGTTAGATCGATTTATGGCGGAAAAACCTCTCACGATTAATTCTGTTCAGCGCAACAGGTGATAAGCGTCAATCATGCCATTTGGAGCTTCTCATCAGACTCCGTGCCCTCGATCTCGTGGAACCGAAGACGTGCGATATAGATTAGGAAGAAAGTCCCAAAACGTGTTCCTTTTTGCGAGATTGCGAATATACTGCGCTCTTCTAGTGATCTTTATTGTACCAGCATCGAATCCATCTCATTAAAGGCATTTTTTAAAGGCAAGAAAATCTACCATAAACACAATCCCCACTAGAGTTGTCCTTTTGCACTTACTTTCGGTGACGAGGCTTTGTGGTTTTGTTCGCCCGTTCTTTATTTAGCTACGATTATCACAATGTTCACTCTATGGTGGGGTAGTGATCCCGTAAAAAACATCTAGTAACCTTACCTCACTGAATTTACACAAAACGAACTAATTATTCTGCTTCATTTATTTGGATTGTAGGTAATTTCTTGTTTGAATCAGTATGCTAAGGTCTTTGCTTATTCACTCCTTGAGAAACATTGAACACAAGATGATACACAAATCTATTAGAGAATAGGTTGCTCCATACTCACAATGCCCGAGCTCCTGCCGACGGAAGATATTTTTAATTTGTAATTTTTACCGTGCATATTGGTACCATAACCCAAGCCAGATGGACTCTTACTTGTGGAAACACAAAAGCTGCTCTGTGCATAGTGTTGGTGCCTGCTTACGGAGGGGCAACTGTGTCAAACTGTTGGAAAAGTTTTATGCTGTTGGGGCTTCTATAACCCCCCCCCCTAACACACAAGAACCCAAAATACTAAACATTACATAAACTACTCAGATATCATGTTCACTGGTATGATGGATAGATTAACTGATACCAACTTAATCTAAATGAGGAAACGTGACCCCCCAACTGTAGGTATGTTGTGAAATCCATATA